TTTATTTTATTTTTGTGAAAAAAGAAAGTTATCAAATCTATAGATAATGGTTAATTGCTGCAATATTCTTCAAATGTTAACATAGTACTTATCATAAAAAAGCACCAAAGACTTAAAGTAAAAATTTAAATTGAGCTAAACAGACTCAGTAACTCTTTACCCTAAATATCCTTACTACTAATTGTATTTACTAGTAAAAGAGCAAATAATCACTAATTAATTGCTTCTATTCTAAATAATCCTATTTCAAGTGATATTGTTAGCACCATAAAAAGTTGTTATTTACTTTGGTATAAATTGAACAGAGGTGTGAAGGTGTGAGAGGCAACAAAAGACTGTTGTGTTTTAAATGAAAGATGATTGCATTGTATTACAGTTGACTGGTTTCTAAACAATAAGATATGACATTAATGAATCCCGGACAATCCCCCTCCCGGACGATTCCCCTTACATATTATTTTCACAACCCGGACATTTCCCCTCTCGTTATTTTAATAGGGCGGACTTTTCCCCTCCCGTTAATTTTACAGGGCGGACAATTCCCCTCACCGTTATTTTAGCAGAGCGGACAATTCCCTCCCGTTTTTCACAGAGCGGAACGTGACATTATACATCCCTTAATCATAGCCGCCTATGCGATTAAAAAATCTAAAAATTCTAATTAAAGATGACAGTCTTTACTCTTAACAAAAACTGTTAAAGATCGGAACTTTTAACAATCATTATTACACAAAGGTGACATTATACCGCCTTTAATCATTGCCGCCGCTGCTTAAGATAAACAAACTGTCAATAAAAAATCTTTAATCAATTGCCGCCCTTAATTAAAATGTGTCCTTAATTGCAAAACCAATTATTGACAATTTATTAATTATCGTTAAGCAGATCACAATAATTGTTTTTGTAATTAGTGTACAAAAAGTATTTACTATTTTATAATTAGTCTCTATTTATTATTAAAGATGACAGTTTTTACTCTTAAAAACAAAACTGTTAAACTGAAAACATTTATAATATTGTTCAAATCTTTCTTCAAATCACTTCCAAAATGGAAATTATTACAACAAGAAACGGTACCAAAAAACTTTGTTTCATGATGGAATACGTTTATACCAAGAAGAGAACAACAAAATCTTACTATACGATGGGGAGTGTTCCAGAGGTACGCCCAAAAATGCAAGGGTGCTGCGGTGACAGACTTGAACGTAAGTTTTCATGAATAAATAATTAAGTAATAATTAAGTAAAACAGAAAATAATTAGAACTAATTTTAAATATTCCTACATTTACGAGCCATGTACAAATTAATACGTATTTTAAAAAAACAAATAGTATCTTTTAGAAGTATTAAATAAAACCACAACATAATTTGTTAATACTTGTCGTGTATATTTTTGTATTATATAAATAATTTAAAGTTGTTATAAATTTATTCCTTTTGTAGATGACGAGTGTTCATTCAGTAACTTCTCACACACATGACGCAGATAAATTCGCAGTAGAAGCCATAAAAATTAGAACAGAAATCATGAATGCAGCTGATGCTAATAGAGGAAAACCTGGTCAGATTCTTGCTGATAAACTGCTCCACTATCCAGTGCAGGTAATTATAACACTGTTTTTTTTACGGAAAGAATAAAGTTAGCACAATATTTATTTAAAATAAATATTAAATAGAAAATAAACTATAAAGAGAATAAGTATTATAAAGAAAAAGAAATAAAATGACAATAAAAAATAAAATTCTTTTCTCCCTATATCTCTATATGTCTGGTGTACGTGAATAGCACATATTGTTGCATTATAATAACAGAATTGCACCTTAGTAAAAAAGAAATACATGTGAGGAGTAAAGGTCGATGTTATATTGAATGTAAGTTTAATCCTTAATGTATGTTAGCTTTATTTATTTCTTTTTTTAGGTGCGCGCAGCAACAGGACAACATGAATCTCTGAAAAGATCGATTAGACGTGTAAAAAGAGGACAAGCACCAAAAGAACCAACATCAATTAACGACATTCCACATCCACTACCGAATGATTACACCACTACAAATGCAGGAAATGATGAACCATTCCTGATACACGACAATGCGTCCGACACAAGCCGCCTCCTTATATTTTCAAGTGAAACCGGATTAGAACTTTTAGGAAACGCTCATACTTGGTACATGGATGGAACTCATTCCACAGCACCACAGCAGTTTGGACAATTATTCTGTATAAGAGTTCCATTAAGTGATTCACATGTTTCGGTGGTGTACGCTCTATTACCTGGTAAACAACAGTCACACTATGAAGAATGTTTTACAGCAATTTTAGACGTTTGCTTACAGAAAGACATCCGGCCCAACCCAGCAACAATCGTCGCAGACTATGAGATCGCCATACACAACGCGGTGAGATCAGTCATTGGCTCAAGTATCCATATACAGGTATGTATGCTTACAAAATATATCAAATGCATCCCAGATAATACAAGTATGCACTGTTTCTTATCAAAACAGCAAAAATAAATATGTCTGTATGTTTAAGTATAAACACCTTATTTCAAATAGTCACAATGCTATCACTAGTTATATTATTTATTAAATACGTAGTAACGTTTAATCTTTATTTTTGTGTTAAAAAGTGTCCGATTATTGTTAGTTTCTTATCAAAACAGCAAAAATAAATATGTCTGTATGTTTAAGTATAAACACCTTATTTCAAATAGTCACAATGCTATCACTAGTTATATTATTTATTAAATACGTAGTAACGTTTAATCTTTATTTTTGTGTTAAAAAGTGTCCGATTATTGTTAGTTTCTTATCAAAACAGCAAAAATAAATATGTCTATATGTTTAAGTATAAACACCTTATTTCAAATAGTCACAATGCTATCACTAGTTATATTATTTATTAAATACGTAGTAACGTTTAATCTTTATTTTTGTGTTAAAAAGTGTCCGATTATTGTTAGTTTCTTATCAAAACAGCAAAAATAAATATGTCTGTATGTTTAAGTATAAACACCTTAAATTTCAAATAGTCACAATGCTATCACTAGTTATATTATTTATTAAATACGTAGTAACGTTTAATCTTTATTTTTGTGTTTAAAAAAGTGTCCGATTATTGTTAGATTTGACTAACTTCTTTATTTTTATTTCAGGGTTGTTTTTATCATCTAACACAAGCTACATGGCGTCATATTCAAAGCGAAGGGTTTACAGTCGTTATACAGAGAAGACAAGGATATCAGACACTTCTGTGGTCAATTAGACGGCCTTGCCTTCCTTCCAGCGAGCAAGGTGACTGAAGGAATGTCGCTTCTTCGAGATTCAGCCCCAGATGTCTTGTCAGGTTTAGTAGACTATTTCGACTCAACGTACGTTTCTGGTCATACAGATCAGTGCTATGTAATGGACGAATTCGACTACGAAAGACATCACCAAGATTCGATCCCCAAGTATGGAATGTTCATGAAACAACACTTAATGACGGTGACCGCACCAAACAACGTTTGTGAGAGTTGGAAACAATGGTTTTAGACATCTTGTAGGACACAGTAATCCATCATTGTGGACAGTTATAAATTGCCTCCAGAAAGACAATTCATTAGTAGAGACAGAGGTGTATAGAGACAGTGTAGGAGAAAATGTGACGAAACGTAGGAGAAAAGAAACAGTCTCTCATCAGAGAAAACTCAAGAAACTGTGCGAGGAAATTCAGTCAGGATCGAAATCAACCCAGGAATTCCTACATGCCATAGGGAAATGTGTAAGACTTGTGAAATGAAGTAGAACTCCTACAAATGTGTTATAAAATCAAAATGATCATTGATATTTTGTGTTAGGACATGACTTCATGTACTGATTCAATATGGTGAATGTGATTTTCTAATCATAATGACGATGATGACAGTTAAATTTCCTATTACATGTGCATAATATATTCTTTGCAAGAATCTATAGATTAATCGTTTTGTTCTCATCAATTGTTCTTTTATTGTTTTGCCGCTGCAAAAATGTATTGACAAAATAAAGATTATTTTAAAAAATGCGTTTTGTTTTGTTTATATTCATGTATGAAAATTGGGGATATACCATTCGCTCGTCCGCACGAGATAAGCAAAATGTATTTAAAGCCGATTAAAACTTGTAGGAGGGGAATTGTCCGGGTTGTTAAAAGAACGGGAGGGGAATTGTCCGGGTTGATAAAAAAACGGGAGGGGAATTGTCCGCCGTAAAAAAATAACGGGAGGGGAAATGTCCGGGTTGTGAAAAAACATTCAAATTTACTGGGAGGGGAATCGTCCGGGAGGGGGATTGTCCGGATTCCGACATTAATATATGTTGTAAATATTGTTTGTAAAAAGTATGTTAAAACTATAAAGTTGTAAAAATTTTATGTTAACTTTAAAGTAAAATATGATTTTATGTCTTTGCTGAATAATATTTGCAATTATTTGTTTGACACTGTGTATTTATTCAAACTTTGATGAATATAAAAGTAATGGTACTGGTACTAAATTACTTCACCAAAAAAAGTACTGGTACTGCAGTACCGAGCTAACATCTAGTACTGGTACTGGTAATGGTACTGCATAATTTACCAAGTACTGGTACTGGTACTTAAGTACTACACCCTTAGTACTGATGCAGCTCTGCTAGCAGTCACATATTTTTTTAAATTATAGTATTTTATATTAATTTTAATTGGAAATTATCTCATTTTAGACTAAACATGGATAAATAAGAGGACGATACAGAGTTATTTGGTAAAAATTTAACTCTTTAGTATTTTTGAGCCTAAAATATAACTACATTAAATTCTTATTGTCAGATCATCACAATAATAAGATGAATAGTGTCTGTCGGTATTTATAAGACATGTTGAGGAGTCTTCTGACCAACTCACTGAATAAAAATGGTGTGAATGGGGGTTTATTATATATACTTATAATACTGCACGTTTGTAACATCGCTTTTCATTGGATAACAGTGACGTTTATATAGATATATATACACGGCTGCTGTCGATATCTTACTTTTTCTCCACAAAATGATGCTTGCTGTATTATAAATAAATGATGCTTGCTGTATTATAAATTCGTTATAAAGATTGTTGACAGGTTATATGCACGTATATAAACGGCTGTTTGCAATATAACCCTCGCCTAACGGCTCGGGTTATATTACAAATAGCCGTTTATATAGGGCCATATAACCTGTCAACGATCTTTATAACTAATAATATATAACTAACATACACATAAGACATGAGGTCGATAATATTGATCAGACACATAAAAGATTATGCACGAGTGTCATTTTCTACAAAACGGCATAATAGCACTGTCTATAAAACAATTTTAGGCGCCTTATATAAGCTATGAGCAAGTCGACTTAGAATTGAGATAATTGAGATACCGTTTCTGTGCTACAATTTGTTGTACAGTACAGCTGACCACTGTCTTTAAATGAATAAATCACAGCTGGTAGAATACATGTCAGCATTTGTGGAAGAAACATCAGCACCCAATTGTATAAACGTTGGTTAACTTTAACCACTGGGTTAAATCCATGGTTAGGTTAACTTTTGGGTTAAACTTTGGTTAACCGATTGTATAAAATTTTGGTTAAATTTAACCAGCGTAAATTTCTGGTTAAATTAACCCACGTATAGGAGGTGGGTTAAATTTTAACCAAATATTAACCAGAAATAAAATGGCTGCCGTTTGTACGCTTCGTCTCAACTTTTGTTCATTTTTGCTTCGAAATAGACTATTATCGGTTGTATATGATGGCAACGATATTTCTTTATGTTGCGTAGTGACGGGAAACGGAAACAAACTTTTCCAGAGCCGGAAATAAACAGTTTTTAAAAAATCAGCTGTCAGTGTCGATAATTCGGATAAGTCATGATACAAAATGTCATTTTAAACCGATTGAATGAAGATCATGCTTAGCTTAATACTGAGGATAAACTTGAAGGACAATTATAGATAAAATTACGAAGTCATTCTGGACCAGTACGCAGCGGGAGCTCCCTGGAAAGACAAACATGAGGCTGTATACTTTGTGATTGATCATTGAATTTTATTTCGATCAACACATATGTGTGCGTTTTCGTGTAATTGTCAATAACAAACATGACTTATTACAGATTTACAGACCGCTTGATATATCACCTTAGAGAATTCTCTTGCTGAACTTATCATGATGAAGAAGGTATGATAATGCATTTAACTTTTTTGTGCCACTGTCAGTTAAACATTTTGCATGACTTTTTGTTTTTTGTTGTGTTTTGTGTATAAAACCATTATCTGATTTGAAAATTGGCAAAACAAAGGAACGAAGTCATATAAAAGAATATATTTTGTTCATTCCATATTTCATGCACTGTTCTGCTTTTTAACAATTATTATTCCTAAACCAAAAAGTCAAGATTTCTCAGGCCTTGATATCTTGTTGTCATGTCACTAGCAAAACCAGCCAAATGGCAGGTTGTTACACAGTGTGTGGCACCATGACACATTGTCGCTTGGCTCAAATTGAAAAATTAGCTTATTGAGGCTTAAATCTGCTTTGTTGCTGGCGACAACGACTCAATTAAGCCATGCGATAACACAGTAAGGAGTCATTCCCTCGTTATAAGCCAAGAGACATTGGGACAACGTGCCACAGTCTGGCATGTTTTGTAGCCCAGGAAAAAAAGGCGATAAACAACAACGTGACATGCAAAAGTGTAACATATCAGCCACCATACTACAAAGAAGTCAAAATATGCAAAAAGTCCTTAAGCTACAGTCTCACTTACTCGTGGCAGAGCCCAGGACCATCCCGGTAAGTTACCAGGATGGTCCGGGGTGAAATTATTATTGCGGTTACACTTACAGAGCAGAGCTAAGGATAAAGCCGGCAAAGCTATTCTTCCCGGATCATCCCGAACCACCCGAGTGATATTAAATATTTTATTCCATCCAGGATGTTGCCAGCAGAGTTACGGTTGTACCCAAGTTGTCTACCAGGGCTCTGCCGGGATGTAAGTGAGACTGTAGCTTTACTGCGTTAGTCATACAGTAGAAATATAGTGAAATATGGTGATGATACTGAAAAATCTATCATCAGTTGTTCACAACTGTCATAAAAAATATTACTAAAAACTTGAATTTTACTTTTCTTAAAATCCTGTACATTTTGCTAAGCTTGTGTTCCTTAAAATATTTTTAGCTCATCTTGTGTAAAATTAGTCAAAAAGTTTTTAATGTGTATTAAATAGTTTCCAGATACATTGATAATTATTTTAGCTCTATCAAGCAGATTCCAAAATGAAAATACTGTAAAACATATAATCATGCTTATTTTTCCCAATATTTAAAAAAATTCCTAATCAAACTGAAATTTGGATTATCCAATGCAATAAAGTTAGTTATTGATTAAGTTCATTCCGGTATTGTTACAGACATGATTGTGTGTCACAGTGTGTTGTTGTTTTTTTTGGTAGAGTATCAATAATTTTTTTTCAATAATTTAGGAAGATTTTCCTTTTGAAAAACTTGCTTTTTTCCTAATTTTATCAGCAAAATTTCCAAAATGATGACTTAGGCAATTTGTCTTCTCATCAAAGGTGAAAAGGGCTTGTTTATTTCTAGTAGCAGGAAAAGAAACAATGTCATCTTCTGATGAAAATCAAACTGTTTTTATTTAGTTTTTAAAGCTTCATGATCATGAATTAACACACAAAGTCATATATTTAATAATTATAAAAATATTTTTATCAACCTTTTAACTTTCAACTTTTAAAATATCCCAAAATAGCCTCAATGTTTTCCAAAATATATAGGTCTTTTCTCAAATTAACTAAATTTAGTCTCATATATTTTATAACCACACTTACACATTCTTCAGAATTAAACTGAAAAAACAGGATATTTGTTCTCACTTATAAAGTATTGAAAATATTTTTGCGGATAGGAAGCTGCTCTAGGTCTGAGTTAATGTGACACAATATAGTACTGAATGGGAAAAAGGCAATTCTTAACATTATATATTTATATTCTATATGTACTCAATCAGAAATACATTTTGATTTTACCAATTACATGTACTTTTGTCCATTTCTTGTATTATTATTATTATTGAATTAAACTGCTTTGTCTCTAAAATACTTCTTCTTTTTACACAATGTAAACTATGAAAGTAAATATATTTATGATTGAACTCAGATAATTGAAAGCATTATTTAAGCATATTTAGCATTATACCTTGGAAATTGCCATGTGGAGATATTCAATATCTCATCCCCATTGTTACTCTTGATATTTCTTAGATGGGGAGGGAGGGGGTTAATAAATAAGCAATAAATAAAGGGAGGGAGAGAGAGATTTAGACCATTATTCCATTGTTCATTGAAGGTGTATTTTATTTATTAAATAATTTATTCAGACTTTCAATGTAGATGAAAATATTTTAC